GTGTTACGGTACCGACCGGTGACTACGTCACATTACGTAACATCACGAGTGCCACGACCGTTGGGCCACTACAATACCTTTGCATTAATAAAGTTGATTTTTAAACATGCATTATGTTATTAATCATTATTGCAAAGAATATCGTCTTTAAAGTTTAAGTAGGTTTCCCTCGTAGTTCGATTTGAATTTACAAACGCAGGTGCTCGCTATATCCCATACTTATGGTTTAGCAGAGCATAAAAGATATTTACTGTGTGTAATTAATAAAATATCAATATCATTTGCGATGTACCTCGAACTCGTAGCTTATGGTCAAGCTTTTATAGAAATCTTTACAACACCGTTGAACGTCAATTAATTCTATCCTCGAGAGTTGCAGTTGCATGGTTGCGTCCTTTGCTCTTAGTTTCTAACATAAAATTTTGGAATTAATATATTACTATCAGAAATTATTTATTGTGGCAGACAATGCAATGATCATAGAAATAAATTATTTCTGTGAGAATAATAATGTTTATTTTTTTATATTTAAGTGTTATATTTTGCATTCACTATAATTATTTTTTATCGTCATTGTTTATTTTTATCCTTAATACTCATGATTCAGTGAATTGCGTGTAATATGCAATGCGTTTTGCGTAGAACGAAAACTATGGTTCTGTGCTGTGTCGTTATATTTTAAAGCCTATTGTAACTATCTAGTATTAACTTCTTAACCAAGCTCAGATCTTCATTCGACATAGTAATCTGATTTTTGTGGTCGATCTAATCTCTAGCAGAAAGAAAGACTTGTGATTTTATTAACATTATTTATTATTATTATTATGCATTTAATTGCTATTATAAAGAAGTTATAGTGCTTATTGACTATCTGTCTAACTCATGATGAGATTAACAGTGAGACAATTTCCTCGCTAATGCAAAAAATCTGCACATTTTGGGTTTGTGATTTGGTAAGTACAGTATCTAAACACAAATGTTTTCATAGAAAAAATAACATCAATAGGGGTGATGACGGGGTACAGTAAACGAAATTCAATTAAGTCCGTCAGTTAGATGATCATAAAAAATGGACACGTATTTTTTCTTTGGGCAATCAACCAAAAAATGACAAAGTTATAGCGTGTCAAAGTTTGGGACTAGGGGCACGTGATGACGTCAATTGAGTGAATTTTGAGTGAATTTTCCCTTATAAGTGTACTCAAACGTGACGTCATGGGACTTTTCAAATCAATATATCTCTGCAATGTTTATATTATGTGAAAAAAGAAAAAATGCGTGTCCAATACTTTTTGATAATCTACCTGATAAACGCAGAAAAAAAAATTAGTCATCATCCCTATTTATATTGTATTTGGCAGTTAAATGAAACATATTTCCAGCTCCATCAGTTTGCGTGTAAAACGAGACGGACGGAAGTACAGAGTGACACCCGAGTGATGGTAATAGTTCTTTTGCTTGGACTCCTTTTTGTTAGAACCCTAAAAAGCTAGGGTAACAACCTTTAACAACCCAACAATAAAAAGACTTAAAACCCGCGAATTAGTCTCAACGTTTTGATTGAAATAATAAACTTGTTTTTAATAAAAACAAGTTTGGATTTTTATCAGAAATAATCGTCGATATTATTATTCAGTACCTCAGTTTATTTTTCTGTTGAAGTATCTGATTAAGATTTGAACTTCTTCTTTATAGAAAGCTAATGCAAGGAACTTTCTAATTTTTGCAATAGTCATAAAGCGAGGCGTTGGTGTTCGTGAGTAGATGTTCTCGAGGGTCTGTGGGTTGAGGACGTAGGATGCCCTGCTTGCGCTTCGTCGGCCGGGTCGGTCGGTGAATGAATTGGCACGCGCGACGCGTGGGCTGGCCGGTGCGCGGATGCTGCGATAGTAACTACAGGCATCACAGAGTCAACGCACCGAGTGCCGCGCCTCGTACGCATTGTAGGTAGGGTTGCCTGATCGAGAAGTCTTAATATCTGGATAGAATTTTGGAGTTATTGTTTGGAGAATTGCACTCCATCAGTTTAACATTCTTATTATTAAATTAAATTACCCTCGCCGACAGACTCCAGTAAGTAAAGAAAAATTAAGAGGTAGGTGAGTCTGGTGAAGCATTTTCAAATAATTCTTATGGTACACGGTAAACGATAGATGTATAGTCAAGTTCTTTTATCGGGAGATTTCGTTATTTTTCGAGAGTCGGGAGATCGGATAATATGTCGGGAAAATCCAGGCGATTCCCGACCATCTGGCGACCCTACTCGTAGGTCGGCCACTCTTCATTGCCTAAGGCACTTCGCGCACTAGACGGCCACGATCACGGCCACTCGTGGCCGTCTAGTGCGCGAGGTGCCTAAATGTCTAAACACTTACATCATCGAACACGAACACTGACCACACCACATCAGATAACATTTTGTAAATCTTTACGATAGCGCTTCTTTGTGTTGAAACGTTATCTTTTGGTATCATAAAATAAATAAATGGGTGTGATGAGTAGTTGCATAGTACACGCATGATTATTCAGCAACATCGTTGTTATTCATTCTTTACTTAACAGGTTAATTTTCTTATTATTAAATTAAAAATTATATGAGCGCTTCTGTACTACTGTGATCGATAAATTAAATAAGGTAATCAACTCATTTGCAAATTTAGCTATCTTTTGAATAAATCAAATTTAAATAGATTCTGACACATCACATTACAGCCTGTGCTCTAACAATATACATATTATGTCACATCACCATAAAATGTTAGTTAAACAAACAAAAGAGACTCCTACAAAATTGTCTAAATTTTATCGGATGTTTTCGTCCCGAACGAATGGCAGGAGCGGTGACCTCTTTATGTATTGTACGGACAGACTTACGTCCGCATTTTATTTTATAACCACGGAACTGGGGAGGTTTGAGGAGAGAATTCCGCCAAAGGCCCGGGGCGTCGTTAAAGTGAACGCCCGCTATGTTTATTCTAGCTACTATGTTATTTTTACGTAGAAAAACCACATCTATTTCTATTGCGTTACTAATGAATTGCATACCATTATATATTATGTGTTTAATAGTATATATATTTCTTCGATGCATCATATTGGCATACACCACTCATTCCGTCTTGATTTCGAGACAAAATATATCATTAATTTTATTGATAAATATTGCCTTGTGATAAGCTGCAGATATGTAGAGATTACACGGTAGGTTTTTATGCCGTACGTGTGTCGCGGTAAGATAGATAAATCCTTGATATAGTTATATCCCTAGGGATATAATTATACAAAGAAACATAGTTATACGAAATTGTTCTATATATATTATACGAAATTGATTTTTTCATTCATTACTATCTTACTAGGAATATAATTATAAAACTATTAGTTTGGTGATATAATTATAAAACTTGATTCAGTTTAGTAAAATAGTTATAGGACTGTAGATGTCATGATTCCGGGTCTTGTCAGAACAGAAAGTCTGGAAATTGTTGATTAGTTTAAAGTAAATATTACTGACACCAAGATGGTGGATATTTTTTTGGCAATTTCATTGTTAATGGATAAATCTATCTATCATTAGAAGGGCGGATGTCGATTTTGCCAACTTTACAGTACAGAATAAAATAAAAATTCAATTTTATCGGCAAATATTTCAATAAGTACAAACAATACGTAAATGTTTTCTTTGCATTTACTTAGCTAATTATGTAGCTTAACTAGCTTTATATTTAAAATTTAAAACTAAAAACAATGTTTCTAAACAGTGAAAAATTAACTTTTTTTTAAAAAATGATGACATCCGCCTTTATGCCACTAAAAATAATCAATGTATTCGTTCAACTGATTAGTATGTGCCCATACGGCTTTATGCCTCCAATTTTTGTAATTTAATGTGAGGTGTTTGTCCAAATGCGACTCTATTGTGTTCATTTATTAACTGTGGTTCTTTTGGCAAAAAGTCGGACATCTCTTAACAAAAAAACTATTCCATAAATAAACGATAATTATTAATTTAATAATAATGAAAAATGAGAGAAAATTAAAAAAATTAATTATTCATCTATTTCCTGGCGTATAACACACGAAGTCGAAAAATTGAACTTTTAAAAATCTTCTTCAAATATTCTTAAACCTTTTTTAGATAATAATGTTGTGTATTATTAGAAAAGTAACAAAAAGGAGTATCCAAAAACCATTAAAGAACAATGCTAGGTGTCCATAGTAACTTTGGCTTAATATAAAATGTTCACGGACAGCAATGAAAATAGTTTTATTGTGTGTTGTTAATAACTAAACATTTCCAGAACATTAAAAATTCTAAAGAACTTTGCGCAAAAAAATACTTCGATAATACAAATATGGAATTTTGAGGTTATTTCAATTTGACTATCACCCTCGCGGAGTGGCTAATAGTGAGTCAATATTAAAAGAAAGACAAGTACCTACTGACGCCGGCTATTTTAGAACCTCTAAAGGGAAATACTGAAATTGAATATGAATCGAAACGCTCCGCTCTCTATTGGTCGTAGCATAATGATAGCCTTCCTCGTTAAATGGATTATCTAAAACAAAAAATAAAATAAAAATCAGACCAATAGTTTCTGAGATTAGTGCGTTAGTTGATTAGTGAGATTAGTTGCAACTAAACAAACAAACTCTTTTGCTTTAGTATAGATAACATTCCCAGAAAATTCACCAACCAAACAAAATCTCTCTGAAACCCTGAAAGCTATACTGAAAACCTACATTGGATTGGATCAAGCACTGCCATGTATGCGTCTTACTCGTCATAGTCAATGGAGATTTCTTTAAGGGCAAAATATAGATATTCTTAAACAAATTCTCTGTTAAGGAGAGAAAACTTGGCTTATTTGTTTGTGCAGTTGTATTTTTATAAAGAAAGTTTATAAACCTGCATAAACGTAGCGTTTTGCACACCTTGAATTCATTTATAGCATTGATAGACAGTGGAATCTTAATAAACATTGTATTTTTATTTTCAGGCAATGCCCGCCAACACTGATGACGCCGCTGCGGCGGATCATACTGGACGAAGTGCAAATAGCATCGAAAAAATCACCCAATGAGTTTGGGTACAACTCTGACGAATCAGGTGGGTTGAGGTATTCTTGTTCTTAATTATTGATTCATTCTGTAAATTTTGTACTCAGTGTTTTAAAGCACCGCAGCCCAGCTATTATTTTTGGCCTTTTCCTATATTTTGTTTCTGTTATTGCGAGATGATTCTTCTCATATCGTTATTTGCAAGCATCATATTTAGCGACGAGAATATTGCTGATGGAAGTGTGAGTTGACGAGGAAGGATAGAATTAGAATTGAAAATAGCTGTTTGTATTGTAGTGACAGAAAAAAAGAAGAACTAGTTTGTAGTTCGATATGATATACTCATCGATAAAGTCTAAGCAACATGTTAATAAACACAATCGATAAGTTTCTATTTTTAGTATAAGCCAACTTTATTTTCGTAAACAAAAAAAAGATTAATATACCAATCTACTTAGCTAAGAAAAAAAACCTCAATAAATAAAGAATTTTTTACTAGAAAAAAATCCACGCGGATCAGGCGACAGGCGAGACTCGAACCCGCACCCTTCACTATCTTGGCGAATGCACTGACCATTATGCTACGGCAGGCCTGTCAGCGACTTTTTTCTTGTAATTTTTTTTAGAATTAAACCTTTAGCAGTTACTTGCTTAAAAATAACAAATATAATTAATTAATAAAATAAAACATGATGATGATGATGAAGAAAATAAAACATACAATTTCTGTAAATGATGCGTGTTGCTTAGACTTTTTTGATGTGTGTATAGATAGCATGCACGAGAAGAAATAAAATTAAACTAAAAGGAGAGTGATGAATCTTAATGTCGAAAGAAGAAAGAATTGATAGATCACACAAACAATTGATGAAAATTTATATGATAGAGAACGTAGTAGATTAGTCGATAGCGAAGAAGACATACTGCACCGCAAATAGGTTAGATATACAGGGTAAACGAAGAGAGTGCTGGTATCATTATAACGAACGAATTGTATTAATTGGAAATAGTTTGAAGTAATGACGCGATCATCATGTATTGCTTACTTGGATGACTCCTAAAGAATTGTATTAAAATTACACATGACCGAAAATCTGATTTCATAAGTAGCTCTGAAATAGTGTGATAGTAAACATTGGCAATTATCGAATCTGTTGTTAGCTTTGCCAAGAGTATTGCGTCATTGATGATTTAAGTCTAAACCTATCTATCTATAACCGTACAATTGCTCAATGTGATGAATTGGACATAGTAGATACGTAGCAGATATTTTTACTCGTGAATGTCGGTCTGTATTGAAGCATATATCATTGCACTGTATAATGATGTTCTTGAAGTTATAGATGATGTCAACAATTGACTTCGTCACAAGAATAATCTTATTGTTCAATCAATAATAATCGATTATTCCTGCTTTACAATTACAACATGATTGAAAGTTAGTAATAAAGAATGTTAATGATTCTATTTCGTGATGGATTTGAAGCGAAAGAAAAATATAAAATACGTCAGCTGTTGGTTTCCCAGTACCGACAGAAAAGCCTAATAACGCAAAGGGCAATCAGATACTTTTTAAGGTAATGGGATTCCAACTTGTCATTATGCTTCCGGATAACATCTTAGATCCAACTTATGCTAAATATAGCCTCGTTGAGGGGTGACTATGTGATTTATGTCCATTATTCACTTGACGTTCAACTTAAGCTGCGTCTAGGATGCTCCACCAACCCTCATCTCCTCACAAGAGATGTATGGACTGACCAGGTGTGAAGTTATGTAGGTTAATCAAGGATTATATATGTTAAGAATTTTTCACAGGATCTATCACAAGTCACAACCAATTAATATCCTGTTAAAAAATAAAGGGGGTCTAAATTTATCTTACTTGACTTTTCCATTTATATAACTGGAAAAATCAAACGCTCGATCTAGTTTTAAATATTCTACTGTGGTTGAAACCCTTTAAGGGCGAGTCCAACACGCACTTGGGCGGATTTTTTATGAGCTTTCATGTCTGCTATAATTATAGTATGCAGTAATCTGAGGATCACTAATTGTGCATCATACTCATACGCCATTCACGTGAATGTTAGTTTATTTTTTTCAATATTTCGTTGAAGGTTGCGTGACTGACTGATGTGAGTATTTATTTGGTTGTGCGGCGCAGGGAACTTTAATTGCTAACGCTGCTTTTATGAACCCACTACCTGCCCCTCTGGCATGACCACGGAAGCGGGATATGATAAAGCGATTATATCGGCATTAACTGTCAGACTACTGTCAAACTCCACTGTAGTCTGACAGTTAATGCCGATATAATCGCTTTATCATATCCCGCTTTGGTGGTCATGCTAGAGTGGCTGTATATAGAACCTATACCACTTTGTTATATTGCTATATGCTATACAGTTAGGTGCGATAAAAAACTTGATAATGTTAATTGTGATGCTCATGCTACGGGGACAGGGGGTGCTCCCACTTAAAATAGTATTATTTCTTTGTAATTTCCGCTATACCCAAATCTGCTTCTTTGAAATTTCAGTGTACATAGCCTTGAGGCTTATGCAGGCGGTAACAGCGCGCGTGAATGCGGTATGCCTTCGATATTTGGACAACGCGCGGCTGGACACTCTGCCGCCACCGCCCGAGCTGCGCGATATGAAGACCGTGTCCTGTGCCACAAAGAACTCGCGCCGGGCCATGGAGGATCGCCATGTGGAGATCGGAAACCTTGAAGCACTATTCGGGATTGAGGTGAATAAAAATGATTCGATTTAGGACGTGACCAAAACTGAGGTTAAGACTGTGTCTTGCTCCTGCGCCACCAAGAACTCTCACCGGGCGATGGAGGTCCGCCATGTAGAGATCGAAAACTTGGAAGCACTATTCGGGATTGAGGTAAATATACATTAAGGTGTTTCATTTTGCTAGGCAAAAAAAAAATTTTTTTTACCGACTTCGCTCGGCCCCCGAGTTTCAATGATATTAAGCTTATCTATGCCAAATTTCAAAAAGATTGGATAACATTAAGAGGTTGCACAGATTGATCACTTTTGAAAAAATAAAATCTATTTTAAATACAAATTGAAATGGGAGGGCATCACAGTCGTGCTATATTAACCAACTTTGTATCGCCCAATTCCTGCTGTCGACCACTTGGTTACTTTTTTTTTCTGTAATTTCGACGATTCTTAACAGCCACTGTTTTATTTCGAAGAAATTCCTCTTTCTGCATGATCATTGATAACCTTAAGAGCATACACATAGTTTTTCATTGAATCATCAGAGTATTCAGTCACGTCACATGGAACAATCAATATCAAACAATTCAAAAACATCTTGCATTTAGTAGAAACGAAAAGGCTCAAGCCTTTTATTTTTGATTAATTGGTCTGTTAAATATTTTATCATATTTTTCTTCACATCCTGAGTAACACGTTCAGCTAAAAAAATCCTACGTTTTGTTTCTGTTTGAGAAATATCGATGTAAGGTGTTTTATTGTTTGGCAACTGCAAGAACATTTTGTTTGACGTTGGTGTCGGGATAAGTGCTCAAAAGCTATATAGCATTTCTAGATAACTCTTTGGAGCCCATCGGCTAACATTGTTTAATGCCACAGCGAACTTATATTAGTCTGACATCGTTAGGTCATATACTTTGGTGAAATAGACCATTTTAATTGCATACATTGCCTACGTCATCCACCTCGTTTAATATAGGCGTTTGAGGTCCAGACATTTTTTTTATTTATTTATTCATTGAACCTTCTAGATAATGAAGTGGTAAGTAGTTGTTATAACTTTCAGGTCTTCTCTTGGTAAACTTCCATTTTTCAGGATGGATTTAGCATGTAGTAAACTTCTGTCGCTCGTTTCCAAAAAACGTAAAGTCGAATTTGAATATTTACTGTCGTGTCCCAAAAAATGGTCTAAAGTTAAACTTGATTTAAGCCTCATGCTGGCTTTATGTTCGTTTGAACAAAAAGGATGACCTCTTGATTTTTAGACCGATTATAATTTTAGTCAGTGTTTTGTAATAAGGTGGAGATAAAGTTCTAATCATTTATAAACAACTCAGGGAATTATTCAGAAATCATTTTTTTTTTGTTTCGAATTATTAACTATTTTAAAACGTCCAAATTTATTTTCCGTAGCACTCGTTTTGAACATATTTTTTTGCTGCGGAGATAAACGAAAGAAAAAAACTTCACAACATTAAAAGTATAATGTAACAAAATTTACAAATCATTTTGTAGTTACAACGTCAATACAATCATGATTTATTTAATATAGAAAACCTGTTAGAATGATTGGAACAGTTCAAATTCAAGTGTTTTTGTCTATAATACCTAGTCAGGTCATAAATTCTGTCACATGTTTCATATAAAATAATTGAAACAAATTTATTCATTATGTGAACATTTATATACCAAAATGAACTTAAGAAAACATAGATTCTTATGACAATAAAGTTTATTTAAAATGACCTTCGTGATTTTGAATACAGGCCTTACGACTGCGCGGCCAGTCGTCTATCGCAGCACGAACGAGGTCCATGTCAATATTGGCGGCTGCCTTAATCAAGGATGTCTTGAGTGACTCCAAATTGGGATGAGGCTTTGAGCACGCCTTTTCCTCCAAGTGTTGCCATATCTTGTTATCTAACGGACTCAAATCTGGACTGGAAGAGGGCCAGTCTTCGTGCTGGATGAAGTCGATTTCACGCGTCAGATTTCAGTCTTGTGTGCTCTTCGCTCTATGAGCTGGCGCCGAATCTTGTTGGAATACCCAGTGCCTGTTATTGAACATGGTATGAGAAACAGATTCCACAAGGTTCGTCAGGACTGTATTTTGATACACAACTGCATTCGTTTTTACACCTTTCTCACAAAAATGTACCTCTGTCAAGCCCCAATAAGAAACTCCCAACCATACCATGAGCGAGGATGGGAAATGACCTCTTTGGACACGCAGAATACGGTTGCTCGCTTCTTCACTACTGCTTGCGTACACCTTATCATTTTGTTTGTTGTAGCTCTCTTCTACGGTAAACATTTTTTTCATCCGAAAAAAGAATTTCCCGTTATTTTTTTTCCGCGTACCGCTTCAACAAAGCGCGGCATCTCTTCAGTCTCAGGTCCATTAGACAAGCATTCAAACGGTGTCCTGTTTTTCTTCGATATGCCCGAAGCCCTAAGTCTTCATTTAGCACCCTTTTCACCGTGGTTCTGCTTAACCCCATCTGAAGGGCCAACAGTTTCTGCTTACGTTTAGGATTTCTTTGAATTCGCGCCTTCACAGCTTTTATCACTGCTGGAGTCCTAACAGACCGATGGCGACCACTTCTTGACATCTCATCTACACTAGGGTCTTCATTGTATCGTTTGATGGTACGATAAACGAATCTTTTGGTTATATTCAAAATTTTCAGTATGTCAAAAATTTGAATTGGCGCGTAACCGCAACGATGCATCGCAATAACTGTAACACGGTCTTGTTTAAGCGTCCACTCCATATTTAAAAATGAGTAAAATTCTAATAAGTATACATTTTTATAATCATGAACAATTCGAAATTCGAATTCAATAAACTTTTTTGTGGCCAGCATTCTAAAAGAAAAGTTATTATTGTGTGACAATACTTATGACCTGACTGTGTATAATTAGACACTTTGTAAAAAGCTTTTTTAATAAGTTCTTTATACTATCTTTGAATTTATTTATGGTTAACTCTTGGAAATTGCTTGGGAACACAAAGATCTTTAAATGAATTATTGATTATGTGTAGCCTAATAGCAGGTAAAGTTCGTTTATTTTTTTTCCTTGTATTAAGTGTGTGAACATTCGTCTCTGTATTGTGATGCGACTGTCATTATGCCAAATTCTTTTAACTTAACTCTTAAGGATTCTTTAACTTTAAGATTATAAATTAATCGAAAAGCTCTCTTCAAAAATAAAATTCCGTACGACATTACACTATGGAAATAACTAAAGTAAATAAATCTGGCTGTATCTACATCCGTTAACTGGCGTATCTTCATTACGGCATATGCTGCAGAGCTAAGTCTATTTGAAAATTTATCAATATGTGGGCCCCATTGAATCTTAGAATCAAAAGTAATCCCTAAGAATACTGTGTTGTCTACAAGGCCCACATTCCTATCCTTTACATTCACACAGGTTTTTACCTGTTTTACATTGGGTAATACTTTCATACATTTAGTTTTTACTTAATGGAGTTATAAATTTAATATTAAATTTAGATATAACAAGAATGAATATTTGGTTGATTACAGACGACGACCCCAACGAGTTTCTATGCAGTGTACGACGGTCACGCCGGCTCAGCGGCAGCGACGTACTGTGCGGCGCACTTACACCAGTACCTAGTAGAGAGTCCACACTTCCGAACAGACTTGATTAAAGCCATGCGCGAAGCTTTCCTCAGAACCGATAACGAATTTGTCAGAAAAAGCAATCAAGACGTGAGTTGTCCAGAAATATCAATTATTCACTAATAGATGTCCGGTAGTTTTTAAAAATTAGGTTTTGTAAAAGGCTTGCCGTTTCGACCTTGAATCTCTGGGATTGAGAAAGATGAATATTACATGTGTCTGAAGTTGAGGTGACTGTTACGGGAATATCAAAATGGGTTGTACTCAACGATATTAAATACCCTAGATATACCACGTCCGCTCAAAACGTGTCCCAATCAAGAAGTGCTTGAACTCCACTCAAGCCCTTCTTGGTTCACAGTCACGTGCAAACCGTTGAAAAGTCAACATGCCGCAGCGCTCTGTAAAATAAAGCGGAAAAAATGCTTGTAATATGTGTGCTGTCGTTATATCGACAGGTATCTAATCAACGTTTGTTAATTTAACGCATTTGAAGCAATTTTTGTTCTAATATTCTAATTCTATATTCTATTTTTATTAATTCTAATATTCTATAAACTGATTTAATAGAAAATACTTTTGATATTCAATTGCATGGCCGGTTATATAGCCATCTCTTTTCCTTGCGGTCTGTACCTGCTATATTGCTAACAGCGCATTCAGAATTGCGCGTAGAGTCAAAGAAATAAGGTCTATATTCTTCCGCATATCTCATAACTCTGATGCATGCGTTTTCATTAAGACCTTATACAGTTTGCATTAAGGGTGACTTTGACCCCGTTCCCCCCCCCCCCCCCCCCCACCTACCCCTTAACAAAAAAGGTGTAAAATGACAACTACGGAGGCCCCGATTCCTTCCTCTTAAAAAACTATCTCCTTTGCATATATGAGAACCCAATGACAAATTAATTTAATTGAATTTTTAACTAAATATTCGGCTTTAGGCAAGCATTTGATATAAAATCTGAAATTTCAGTTCTATAACTCATTCAGTTTTCGATCTAGAGACCTGTATCATACGGATAGACGGGCAGACAGACAGATAGACGAGAGAGTTCAATAGATTTGCAGTTTTACCCTTTGGGAATGGAACCCTAAAAATATTTCACAAATACAAATTTAAGAATAGCTGTTAATTTTTCGTAGTTTGTTTTTAGCTTTAGTATTGTTTGTTTAAAACTTACTTTATATATTTCTTTTATCAACAGCGCGCATGTGGCGGCAGCACAGCAGTGGTGGTGACTGTGCGGGGCCGCACTTTACTAGCGGCGTGGGCGGGCGACTCCTTGGCGCTGCTTGCCAAGCGGATGCGGTTGCTGCAGCTCGTGCGGCCTCACAAGCCCGGCCGAGAGGTAGCGTGCTCACACACAACGTACACACACTACTGTCGGCGTGGCCGGCCCACTGTCTGGCGCTGCTCGCCAAGCGGATGCGGCTGCTGCAGCTCGTGCGGCCTCACAAGTCCGGCCGAGAGGTAGCGTGCTCATACACAGAGTACACACACTACTGGCGGCGTGGCCGGCCCACTGTCTGGCGCTGCTCGCCAAGCGGATGCGGCTGCTGCAGCTCGTGCGGCCTCACAAGTCCGGCCGAGAGGTAGCGTGCTCATACACAGAGTACACACACTACTGGCGGCGTGGCCGGCCCACTGTCTGGCGCTGCTCGCCAAGCGGATGCGGCTGCTGCAGCTCGTGCGGCCTCACAAGCCCGGCCGAGAGGTAGCGTGTTCACACAAGCGTACTCACACTACTGGCGGCGTGGCCGGCCCATTGTCTGGCGCTGCTCGCCAATCGGATGCGGTTCCGCTCTATTCGCTATACTTTTTCGGATATATTTTTTGTTAAAAACATGTCTTTTGGAAATACTAATTGCTATGTAGATGACAGTACAGTGCTTGAGGAATTTCAGATATGAAGCACGTGCATGAGTAGCAACCAAGCTGAATGTTGATATTAAAGTAGATTGTGTTTTGGAATCAATATGCCGATTGGGGTACCTAACAAAAAGTAGTAATAAAGTTTATTAAATAATTACCCATGCTTGTGCAAGAGCTTAATGGTGCAAGCGGTTAGCGCGCTCGGGCAGCGATCGTGGAATTTAACGTACCTTTGCAATGGCCGGTCATCGGATCGGTGACCTTCTCCTTCCTCCTCATTCATGTCTCGGAAGGCACGTTACATAAAGCCGTTAATCTCAGCTGCAGCATTCATTCTCCCTATTCCATACATATGGAAGGCGTGTGCCCCAGCAGTGGGGACATTAATAGGCTAGTGATGATGATCAGTTGGTGGTGTATATCTATAATATGTCGCACAGCACCTATGTTCGGCACAAAAATCCAAATTATTTTCATAACCATTAAATTAGCTTGATATCGTAAGTCACTGTAGGTAATTTATTTACATATATTTGAATAGATACTGTATCTGTACAGGACGAACGAGATCGAATAGAATGTTCAGGCGGCTCTGTAATGTACTGGGGAACATGGCGAGTCAACGGCCAATTAGCGGTTTCACGAGCGATAGGTGAGTTTAGTTTAATCTTTGTGAAAAACTGGTAAGTATTAGTTATTTATATTAAATGTGCATCGGTAATCACCGTTAGGTATAAATTATCAGTGCTCGGAGATGTGGCGCACGCAGGTGCGTCGGCCCCGAGACCGCCCCCATATGGGCGTAGGAGGGTACCAGGGGGGTTTTAGTGGAGTAGGATCAGTGTGGCCTTCCGCACTGGTCCTGCTTGAGTAGGGTCGGCACTGTTTCCCGTGCCGGCGAGTCCCACACACGCCGTGCGCCTAGTCAGCGTCACGGTATGGTGCGTAACTGCATTTCCCCTCGTCACAAAAAAAAAGGTATAAATTATCAGGTAAAAAACGTTATTGAAAACAGGCGCGTATTTTTTCCGTTAAGAAATAAGCCTATTTTTTTCCGTATGGTGACTGACAAAGAACACCATTCACCGCCCCTTTATTCTTCCCGAGGGTGTCGTAACAGTCGACTAAGGTAAATCGCAGCTTCCCTCTGCTTACTGGTCCCGTCCGCCCGTCTGGTTAGTTACCTGGGTGCGTATGGTGTAAAACCCATAGAGGTATAAGAATAGAAGTGGGGAAGGCGGCTCTAAAAGTGTCCGTCTAGTAGAAAGAGAAAGAAGATGAGAGACCGCTAGCTATCTCTCTCTCTTGTGACGCATGGCATCACATGGAAATAGTAAGATGCTTAGGGTTGCCAATGCGCATGCGCGATTAGAGAGAGAGAGCTAGCGGTCTCTCATCTTCTTTCTCTTTCTATTAGAGGGACACTTCCACTTGTAGTAGGGTCTATATCTCCGCTACTCTATTCTTATACCTCTATGGGAAAACCTGTGAAAGTTCGGGGTCAGTCAGCGTACTACCAGAGCTCGACTGAGCGTTGCCGCGACAGATTCGGTCCAAGTCGACATATGTCACTGATGTATGTAATATTTTTTTACAATTGTCCGTATCTTACTTCAATGACCATTATGTTGTGAAACAAGGGTAATTTTTTTTCCACATATTTGACAAATTGTTAGTAATTCTTGACATGAAATGTGGACTGTGTAAGTTTTGCCTTACAATTGTAGTGTATAGAAGAATAAATAAGAACAATTTAGAAGAATCGTTCGAAAGGCACCTACCGCTTCTTATCGAGCAATACCGAGAGAAGCGATTATTATTCGCTAAAAAATATGTTGATTGGACGGTACGAGAATGGATAAATTCCGATGGTAAGCGTTATGTTAGATGTCCTGTAAACAATGCTTTTAATTACAAATACACAAGGAGTATAGTCAAGCACGGTGACCCGTAACATTAATGTTTGGAGGTGTTTTTCCGGATGTGGAGTTGGACCCGTTCGGAAGATTGAAGGTACAATGGATCAATGGCAATACAAAAATATCTTAGAGCACACAATTGTTCCCTACTGGGACGATCATTTGCCTGTAACCTGGATCTTTTAGCATGACAATGACCCTAAACACACGGCCAATAGCGTCAAATGTTTCCTTAGCGAACAGCGTATATCCGTTTTAGACTGGCCAGCAAATAGTCCTGATTTAAACCCGATAGAAAATCTCTGGTATATTGTTAAAAAGAAAGTCTGAAACAAACGTAATATCAGTCAAAACGAACTATATGAAGCATTTGTTGAAGCATGGAATTCAATCCCTCTAGAAAAATGTATGTAATTGAATCAATCAATGCCATGTCATTGTACCAGTGCCGTTATTGGAAATAAGAGATACGCCCCTAAATGATATTTAGTAACTTTATTATAACTTATGGTAGGCTGTGGATAGTAGCTATTTCGTCAATAACTTACTTACTATACTTTTTTTGTTGTTGTTTCTTATTAGTTGACCATTATTGTTCACACCTCAAAAGTGATTGAAATGTTTGTCCGTAACATTGAAACTGCACTTGTGTAATGTAAAGGTGGGTCGTCGACGTATTTTTCGTCGACGAAACGAAACCGTCCACTACCGTCCATCGACTAGTCGATCAACTAGTTGAATTCTTCGACTAGTTGACGTGATAACGGCGGGCTTTAAAGGGTTCATATCAACTACTCGGTGACTGGTCTACGGGCGCGACGCAACGACGACGACGGGGTCTTTATTTAGTATTCGCTTTACATTATAGTCATTTAAATGTTGACAAAATAAATTACAAATTAAACATAAAATAAACATTCAATATAAACGAACTTTGCACTAAATTCGCATTCACGTGTCCCTTGACCTTGACCTCGCAACACACTAATTTCAAATTTCAATAAACAAAACTGCAACTACTTGAGGAAAACCATTATTATAAACTCGTTCATCCTGCACTGCATCGTTTAGCTCCATCCAGACGATTGTTCCGATCCATCGACGTTCTCTTTCACGCAATATAAAAATACTCTTACTTATATACTTAAGTTTCAAATTGCTTTATTTCAACAAATGATCGAACGTATGGACTTGTAACGGGTAAACCAGATACGTTTACGCGTCGTCGACGCTTTGTCAGTAGATATAAACGCTGTGGACTCTCAGTTTAGCCGTCTATGAATTCAACTAGTTAACGAATTAACTGTAGACCGTCGAAGCGTCGATTGAACGTAGACCGTCTATTTAAACCGTTCGTTAATTCAACGCCCATCGCTAGTGTAATGGGATTTATATTGTTTTTCTATTAAATGATAAATCGTTGAACATATTGTTTTCCTATTTATTGTTTAAAATTAAAATAAAAACGATTGCGGTGAAGTATCTTACATAATGTCAAAGACCGTTGGTAGTGTTTCGAACCGACGCCGTGCCGCGCCGCCAGGATGCCCGTAGAAACAGCTGTTCCGCTGGCCGCCCGTGGCACAATACAGGGTCCCGAGCGTTCCTAACCAGGAGCTTTCGTTTTCACACACACACATGAACTTCGGATTCATAAATTTTTTGTGAATGAAGAAAGAGTAATGTTTGGGAGTGCTTTTCGTATGTTTACTTTTTAGACAATTTAGACGCATCTCCTATTCAGATGAACATACCATTCCTAATTTTTCCGGTCCTGTCGAGGCAGTGTTCACTCGTTTCTGTCTCCTTTTTTCTCTATCACTGCAATAACAAAGTTGGACGTACAGTAGTGCACATCCCCACGCTTGCCATGCTGTATCGTGGAGTCCGCATATTGTTACTGCATTAGGGTAGCCATATATACGGGCTCGCATTAATCGGTACAGCCGGGCGGTAAAATCGAATATGTGTAGATGAATGTTCGTCAGTAATTACTACAGGTCGTCTTTTTTGTTCGACAAATTCTGCCTAACCGAATATACCGGCCCGATTATGTGTGTAGCTACCATATTGGAGTACCTCTATGCGGACTCCACTCAAGTCCACTCTAACTTCAACGCTGTCTACTCTCAACTCTCTTCACTTGACTCTTCAAGCATACGTGCTCGAAGAGTCCTTCAAAGCGGTTTAGGTAGAAACCCGGTAGGGCGGATGTTTGTTGTCGCGTTGTCGCCGTCTTCGCTGCCTGGAAGATAGATCAATATGATCCCTCCTTCTCCATGTTGGGGGTACAGTCAACTCTGGTCCCCTGGCTAGAGTTTACGTGTACCTCTTCAGATCCCATACCGGCGACGTTAAGACAACTGAACTTTTTGACCATCTTAGTCGGAAAGCAGATGACGCACTGGAGCATTTTCCCTATGTCGAACTGATGTTTTTGGGGGATTTCAATGCTTATCATAGTTTATGGTAAGGTTCCTCCAATACTAACCATGCAAGGGTATCTACTTGCGCAAGGTTTGACGCAACAGGATCTCAGACTATCCAAGTCAAGCGCCTTTTTTGCTGGACATTCTGCTCATGACTTATCCACAGAGTTAACGGGTAGGGCCTCGTTAGATTATGCTGCCAGGAGCCACAGAACAAGCCTTTGCATCCAGCGGTGATCAAACGTTGGATTTGTTTCTATGTCCCAGATTTTGACGCTATGCGCAACTACTTTGCGTCTGTCCCTTTGAAAGCAGCGCTGCTTTAGTGACAGAGACCTATCGGCTAGCGCCATTACCATTCCGAGGAAATGGTAATGGGTATAGAATACCACATTCTACTGATCTCATCTCATTAGTAGGGCACACTTAACTGCTGCTTTAATCGCGATTGTGCTGAATCTGTTTCGCGTTTGGATCAGAAGCCGCGCTTTTATAGATCTCAGGGTCGATGCAACAAAGGCAAAAGGAAGCAAAGTTATATAGATTGGACTAGTAGACTTCCAAGTCCTGCAATAAAAGCTTACATCAAAGCGGATGCCTAGCTATTGGCCATGCACTGATAACGCATCCTACGGGCTCCCGTAGTTATTGGCATTTAGCTACGGTCGCAGCAGCGAAGGCTTGCTAAAGCCCTTACTACTACCACCTCTGAGATGTCCCAACAACAAGGAACCCTTTTTTTATATGTGTTTTTTTTATTTTCCTATAATTTTTTTATATTTTTTTGGTTTTCAAGGTTCATGTTTTCTTAACTTAATTATTAATGTCGATGAGACGGTGCTGTTTTGATGAGAAACATCTTTAGCGGTGGGATAGACAGACTGTTAAACACAAGTTTTTCCTTATTGCGGTTGCTCCTCTCCTTCCTATCCTACACTTTAATGCGATTCAACTAAGAATAGGATCGACGGGGCGCCATATTGTGACGTCATAGCTGTCAATTCAAACGAATAAGGTAGAGTGAGCAAAAAAGATTTTATTTAATACAAGTTATTTAAGTACTAAGATTAAGTAAGAAAAAACATCCGGTTTTTTAATAAAATTTATTTACTAAAATTGAGAAAAGAAAATAACTGATTTTTAAAAATATTTATTTATTAAGACTGCGAGAAAAAAATTAAGCTCTTCAATTCCGCTCATCTCTGCATTACCGCCGGAGTAGTTATGAATAATCATGCACTATTACTAGGTCACATACGAACATGCATCCTATATGTAAACCAAAATTTTAAATCGAGTTTCTG